AGAATGGAAACAAACTATTGAGCAAGCTTTTCCTAGCATAGAAGATGAATCTTCCTTGTGACATAAGAGGTTTGATCACTTTAGTTACTCAACCTTAAGACTAATGAAGTCTAATAATTTAGTTCAGAATATGCCTTTTATTCGAGAACATGATGATGTGTGTGATGTATGTCAATATGGAAAGTAAAGCAAACTACCATTTCCTAATGAAGCAAGTTGGAGAGCTACTGAAAAACTACAACTTATACACACTGATGTATGTGGCCCAATGAGCTCAACATCCTTAAATGGCAGTAGATATTTTCTCTCGTTTGTAGATGACTTTACAAGGATGAGTTGAGTGTTTTTTCTAAAACAAAAATCAGAAGTGCTTGCTGTATTTCAAAAGTTCAAGTTGGTAGTTGAAAATGAGGCTGGAAGCAAAATAAAAAAACTCAGATATGATAATGGAACTGAGTATACAACAGGGGAATTTCAAAAACTCTGTGCACAAGCAGGAATTCAACAGCAATTAACTGTTCCTTACACCCCTCAACAAAATGGGGTGAGTGAAAGAAAAAATAGGACCATTATGGAGATGACAAAGTGTTTGCTCTTTGAAAAAGATCTTCCCAAAACATTTTGGGCAGAAGCGGTTAACACCTCTACATACTTGCTGAATATGTTGTCTACCAAAGCCTTGAAAGGCAAAACACCTTATGAAGCATGGTATGGAAGGAAGCCCTCAGTGGAATATCTCAAAATATTTGGCTGCATATGTTATACTCATATTCTAGAGGTAAAGAGAGATAAACTGGATCACAAGTCAGAAGTTGGTATTTTCTTGGGGTACTCTAGTAACTCCAAAGGTTATAGGATATACAATCCTTTGACAAAGAAGATTCTCATTGGTAGAAATGTAAAGTTTGATGAATTTTCTAGATGGAATTGGGAGAAATGCAAGGTAGAAGCCTTAAGTAAAAAACAGCTTGGAGTAGACACTCTCCAAGAACAATATTCAGAGATTGAAGAAGAAGATTTAGATGATGATGATGATTTTCCAGTTAAAGACACTAAAACTCTTGCTGAAATTTATGAAAGGTGTAACATTGCTGCACTAGAACCTAAAGAATATGATGAAGCAGTTGAAATGGATGGGTGGAGATGTGTTATGCAGGAGGAGATGAATATGATTGAAAAAAATAAAACTTGGCAACTTGTATACAAGCTTACTAAACACAAAGTTATTGGTTTTAAGTGGGTTTATAGAACCAAATTGAATCCTGATGGTTCTATAAACAAACTAAAGGCTAGACTAGTTGTTAAAGGCTATCATCAATAACATGGTGTTGATTTCTCAGATACATTTGCTCTGGTGGCAAGACATGATACAATCAGGTTGCTAGTTGCATTGGCAGCAAAAATGGGTTGGAAAATTTATCACTTTGATGTGAAATCAACCTTTTTAAATGGTTTAATTGAAGAGGATATCTTTGTTGAACAACCTAAAGGCTTTGTTGTTCTAGGGAGTGAAAACAAAGTCTACAAACTTCAAAAAGCTCTTTATGGATTAAAGCAGACTCCTAGGGCCTGGTATAGTAGAATTGATAGTTATCTTCTGTATAAGGGGTTTAAACGGAGTGAAAATGAAGCTACTTTGTATGTGAAAAGGTCAAGTAATGAAGTGCAGCTCATTGTTTCCTTATATGTTGATGATTTGCTAGTTATTGGCAATAATTCAGATTCCTTGAGCAGCTTTAAGAATGACATGACAACTAAATTTGAAATGACTGACTTGGGAGAAATGAATTATTTTCTTGGAATGGAGATTCACCAATGTGATGTTGGAATCTATTACACAAAGAAAATATGCTTTGGAAATATTGAAGAAGTTTTCTATGCAGAATTGTAAACCTGTAAACACACCCCTTGTTGTAAATGAAAAGTTGTCACTTGATGATGTTGGCAGCAAAGTAGATACTACTTATAGAAGCTTAATTGGAAATTTATTATATCTTACAGCCACTAGACCAGACTTAATGTTTGCTGCAAGTTTGTTGTCCAGATTTATGCATTCTCCTAGTCAAGCTCATTACTGTGCAGCAAAACGAGTATTGAGATATATAAGAGGAACAACTGATTATGGTCTATGTTTTTCAAAGGATGAAAGTGGTGATCTTCAAGGATATGCAGATAGTGACTGGGCAGGAAGTTTAGATGATACTAAAAGTACATCAAGTTATGTTTTCTCATTTGGTAGTGGAGTTTTCTCTTGGAATTCAAAGAAACAAGATGTGGTGGCTCAATCCACAGCTGAAGCTGAATATATTTCAGCTGCAAAGCCATTTGGGTTAGAAAAAATTTGCATGATTTGAGGGAACTGAATGATGAAGCTACTGTCATATGGGTTGATAACTAGTCAGCCATTGCAATTGCAAAGAATCCTGTCTAGCATGGTAGAACAAAACACATCAAGTTGAAATATCATGCCATTAAAGAAGCAAAGAAATCAAAGGAAATCAGCGTAGAGCATTGTAGTTCAGAAAATCTGATTGCTGATATTATGACCAAAACACTTTCCAAGAACAAGTTTGAATTTCTAAGATAATTTCTAAGATAAAAGCTTGGAGTATTCAAGAAAAATCTCAAGAAGGAGTGTTAGAAATTGAGTTTTTTCTAAAATACTTTATGTAACTTCTGATTGCTTTTTGGTTTGGTGAAAATCCTTATTTTATGGAAGAGTAGGTTGTATGGTCAAATATTAGATAGAAAGGAGTGATAGTCCTTATTTTGTGGAGATTTACATATCTCTTTATGTATGCAAAAAGAAAAAATTTATGGTATCAATGAACAACTGAGTTTTCTTTTCTTTTGTTCACTGTTGAACTCTGTATCACTCTCTGTTCTTCTTTGTTTCTGGTTTTATATTATTTTCCTATTTTTTCTGATTTTACAACAACTTGATTATTCTCCGGTGAAGGCATCTCTACTACTATTGATAATAATATTACTACTTTTCTCACCATACAATATCTCGCCGCCTCATCAAATTAAAGATGTAATTGGAAATAGAAAACTAATTAAGATCTGCTGCTTCTTTAAGCACTTCCTAGTTGAGGAATGCTTAACGAAACACCTCCAACAGCAAATTATTACCAAGCACAGGTGCTTAATAAAAAGCTTCAAGAACTTTCACTAAAGATGATATAAGAGATCAAAGCCAGTTTTGGAAGTAGTTCAAAAGTGTCTTCACATTACGCTTATGAATGGGAGGGAAAAGAAAATATCAGTTTTTGTTATTTTAAAAAGGTTACCTTTATAAAAATAATTACTGTTATGTTAAAATTAAGATGTATACATAAGGATTCTTAAGTTTTGGATTAATGGTTTGTAAATATAATTTTTAGTTATGATATATTGATAATTGATTTTATTTCATACATGTACTTGTAATTATAATTAATAGTTAATAATACATTAATATTATTAAATGCAGTTATCAAATGGTTGTATAAAAAAAAAAAAAAAAAAAAAAAAAAACTAGTTGTCAAAAGTATAATATTTGTACCAAAAACTATTTCAGAGTTAAGGTACAACCCAAGGTTTCAAGAATACGGTCTTTCATTAGTTATGAAAAAAATTCTATCAGATAACAGCATGAAACTATATATACATTATTAGAAATTTTCATGTTTTATTCAATTTTTTCTGTAAAAGAATAGTATGAAATAAAAATTCATTACAATTTGCAAAATCATAACTAAAGTTAGCTATATGGATGTATAATATTTGTCGTAAACAAAATAATCAACCTTTATATTTCTTAAAAGGCTTTACTATATTGTTGTTCATCTTCTTTCTGTCTCCTATGGTTGATCTACTCTTTTGTGAGATTTACATCTTTTTCTATTGTGATTGACCTACTCTTTATTAGATTTATTCCTCGTTATGTTAAAATGGATATGGTCACTTGTCCATGTTACTACCTTTCTATCCCTGCAAATATATTTTGTTTCACTGTAACGTTCTATCTGTTACATCGCTCAGATTTTTTTCTTATTCCTTTTTTTTTCTTTTTCTTTTTTCCTCACCTCTAGTGGGAACCTCATGTTCGTCTTCTCGTCCCGGTTGCCTCTGAAAAAGCCCGATCTTCTCTAACAGCATGTAGGATTCTTGTAATACAGGCTGTTACCAGACAACACATTATCAAACTTATTTTCTAATTAAAAAGTTTCCACTTTTTTTCCCATCCAAATTTTATTTCTTGTTTCTAAGTTCTCATTATTTCCTATCTAGTGTCTTTAATCAGAACCATATCCTCTACAGCAACAAAAAGTCTCATGGCTTAAAGTTACAAACTTAAACACTAAAAGAATGTGTAAGGACACAAGGTAAGTATATTTTACTAATGATTTTAACTAAATAAGCTCACAATCTTAGCATTAAATCAAAAGGAAATATACCATCTCACTTTAGGAATAGTAAACTCTCCCTCATCTAGTTGTTAGATCAAAATATCATTATATTTCCTCTTAAATGGAGGGTTTATGGCCTTTTCATAGAATCAATCCTTTTGCCCAAATGAAAAATTCCAGAGGATAAAGTACAGCCTTCTTGTGTTACTTGGCAAACCATATCCATTCTCAAAGAACATTCGTCGCTACTACATTAGCATATGATATTAAGAATAGTGTTCAGTACTGCAGCCTACAAGTTTCCATGCTATACTAGCATTCTACATGTTACTATACTATGCCCATTTACAATATTAAGAAATATCAGAAGTTCATGAGTAGTTTATACAAGTAGCATCCGAAAGTAAATGAATTTTCACGTAAAATGTGAGCCAGAAGGAATGATCCCGAAAATTCATGCCCTCTGATTAGAGCAACCAACCACTGTACACAAACAACCTAGCCTTACAAAAGGGGTCTTCTTCAAAATGTGAGGGTGAATCCTGAGAATGGATGAAGGATCATTTTCCTGCACAAGTCAAATCAAGCTATTTCTTTGGAAGATGATTAGAGTAAATGATTTATGGTCGCTGCTTGAATGACAGCAGTTGGGCTAGGCTCCCTAATACGGGAAGTAGTAGATCTTCTATGGCCATAATTCTTATCAGCACTGCTGCTTTTAATGCGGGGTGAAGAAAATTGAAAGAATTTCACTAGCTTTGCTGAACCAACAAGTAAAATCACGCCAACAATGATAAGTAACCTGCATCAAAACATTTCTGATTAAAGTATTCCTGACATAAGAACTTGAAGGTGTCCATCTTATTTGAGAACACCAACATTATGTATGTTACTTCATTAGATAAAAACATTCAACCGAATCAGAAAAGATTTGCATTAAAGATTAGAAGCAGAACAGAATATGCTCATAAATGCAATGCAACTATTAACACAGGGAGTGAAGAAGTATAGAAGGCCGGAGCCTGGAGTTCATTTCTGCATGGAGAATATATAAAACAAGGAATGTAAAGACCCAAAGAAATAATAGTATATCGTCAATTATTACCATCCTAGAAGAAGTACCATGCGAGCTTTTGGGGCCGATGGAAGTCGCTCACCCAAAGCAAGCATCCCAGCAAGTACACCAGTCAAAATTGATGCCACAGCAGCACAAGTAGAAACTATAATAGCCCTCCCATGTTTTAGACCTCGTGTCTGTGCATGTTGGAGCAGTAAATACAAAGGAGGTTAGTATCTCCGAAATTGGCAGTGCAGAATTTGGACAAATATCTAGCCTGTTTGACAGAAATCCCACCTTCCCAGTTCCCACCATCCATAGGTTGAAATGTCCCTTAGGTTGGTTTGGTTTAGAATATGGAAAGAGGGGAGGATGGATATGTGAAGAAAAGGAGGATGGATGAATGCGTGTGAAGGAAAGCGGAAAAAGAAGGAGACAAGGGAAAGAGAGAACTCTGAGCATAAACTTGAAGAAATGCATAGAAAAACAACATAATTAATTATGCTGTACATATTATTGATAATGTTGCCTAAAATTTGAGTTCAAATGCCCATAATTGATTATGGGTGTTTTTTTATTTTATTTTATATTTTAATATTATTATAATAATAAATAAAATTATTGATAACAAATAAAATAATTTTCTTTTCATTAATTTCTTTTCAACTATACAATCTCTCTCTCCATTCATTTTATATCTCTTTATCTTCCGTTCTTTTCTCTACCAAAGGGAGTATCGGCCTTAAGGTCATGTAACAGTTCACAACACAAAAGTAAGTAGTATGAAAAGATCTTCAGAATACCTGGTAGTAAAAGCCTGTACCACTTGAACAGACGCTGATGACGAGGCAAATAGGAACCAACAGCTTGGGGAAGCCTTGTTCCAAGAACAGAAACCCCATCTTTGATATTACAGATGCCATCCTGCATTTCCATATTTTCATATTAATAGAATTAAGAGTAAAAATTGTGAATTATAATCAACTTCTGTTCAGCGTGTGCGTGTTCTGTAGAAAAACTGACAAATGTAATTTAACTAAGGTTTAGACTTCACAAATAAAAATATTGCAACCAATGTAAATTTGTGCCTTTTTAAATGCTGATAATTAACAAAAACATATCATGTTTGTTTAAATTGACTTGTTATTCTACTAGCTGCATTATTCTCCCCAGAGCATTCTTGAGGTTTAGACTTAACAAATAAAACTACTGTAAGCAATGTAAAGTCGTATTTTTTAATGCTGATAATTAACAAAAACAGATCATGTTTGTTTTAAATGCTTCGTTATTCTATTAGCTGCATTATTTGCCCCAGAACATCCAGGATTAAAAAGAAAAAGAAGGGTAAACACTTAATTTTCATCATCCTAAGGAGTTGAGGTAAATGAAGGAAGTGAAATGTGTCCATCAGAGAGCACAACATATAAATATGGTAGGGAAGTAAAAGTACCCAAATAAAATTCCAGATTCCAAGCCATAAATAATTTCCTCAACAACATCATATTCCATCTGCATCACTTAAAAATGTCAGGCAACGGAAGAAGAATAAAGGACAATATATCTCATTAGATTACCAAAAGACGTGTAACATGTAAGAATGAAGACACCCATCATGATTAAACCATGAATTACCATCTCTTGTTCTCTTCGATTATGCTTGCATATTCGAAGCCATCCATTAAGTATTATCTGTACAAGTGGTTCTAACAAATTAGGAACAAATAACTATTTTAAACTAAAAGATAGTAATGTTAAGATGTTGCACAAATGACCCTACACTCTTTAAAGAAAAGATAAGCCAATAAAAAAACTAATAATACTGATAAAATAATGTATCAGAATTATGAGTTTTGTAATCATGAATTCAGATATGTGAAAAAAATCATAATACTGCATGATTAGTTCCAATAGACCATAGTATTGCCTTCCTATTGACTGCAAAGAAAGTTGGTAATAATGAACCAAAGCGTAAGACAGGGTACCTACAAACAAGATGAAAACAACAAATGCCAGCCACGGAATGTGAAATATAGATAGAGCAGCAGCCTCTTGCTCCTCGCCTCCAGCACCAACTCCTAAATTTAGAAGAGCATGTTAACAAATTGGATACATAAACCTAAGTCATGTATCGATGGAATGACACATATGATGCCAGCAACGACTGCAAAGTTGATTTTATTAGCAGCCAGATAATAAATCAGGAATATTCAATGAAATCTCAATCCATTGCTCACCTACACAACATAAGTGCATACTTCACAATATATAAAAATAAAATGGTTGCACCATCAGTCTCTCATATTTACAGTTTTAATGTTTAGATTCAAATTCTGACTACCTATAGAAACCTATAAATTTTGTTACTGTCGTCATAATCATGAAAATGAATTGTCAATAAATGCCCGATATTTTAATTTTTTTGTTCTGTTAGCGAGACAAACAAATGGAAACATAATATAGATGTTTTATCATTGCTTCAATAGCCATGTACGTTGGAGTGTGTCAAAGGAAATAACAGCAGTTAAACTAAAAGCTCTTTACTTTAGCAATCTAAAACTTACATTACCTATTGTGCCGAAACCTGCAAAGGTAATGCCCACCCAATCAACAACATTCATGACTTCCTTGAGATAAAAATGAGAAAATACTGAGAGGATTGCCAGTCCAAAGCCAGAAACTGGTTGGATGACAGAGACCTAAATCAGAAAAACAACCAAATTACAAAAATAAAAATTTGGGAAAGAGACTAGAAGACTCTGCTGACGATAACGTATAATCCATTAGTTTCCTCCTCAATTATGCTTCTATTATAGACATGAGTAGACCACTTACAGGAGCCAGAGCTAACGCCCTTAACATCAACAGTGCCCCAAATATATCCATCAGAAAACCTATGACCCAGGTTTTGTTCAAAGCATATGCCCTTATGACCTGCAAATACAAAACAATTGTCAAAAAAAAAAGTACCAAAGATGATATCAATGTCAATCCTTAATCAAACAGTGACTTCTTGACCGTACGTGCTTCAATGAAAAATGGGATCTTTACTCAAATTTCCTCCACCCAAAATCCCACGTTGATACATGCGCACGTGCATGTACACAATTTCACCATTCCAAAAATTAAACCGTACAAATTGTAAGTTTCGGGGTTAAGGTACATCCACATCAAAGAAAAACACACGCGTATGCTTGAAATCGTATAGTTATATTCAGAGGTAAGATTTTGAAGGGGGAAGCAAATCATGGGCATATGAAAATGAAAGAAATAAAAAATAAAAAGTGGAACTGAGAATAGAGAAAGATGCCTTGAACTTGAAAGAGAGAGGAGGAAGAATGACGGTGCCCTTCTTCTGAAGGATTTTGCCGATATTGTTGCCGGCGGTGGCCACCACCGTCAAAACAATTGATTCCCACATTTTTTCCGACCCTTTCTTCCTCCCTCTGCCTTGCGTGGCTCTCCTCCGTTTGATCTTGAACTTAGGATTTGTTAATTGCCATAAACACCATTATTAATTGTTTATTTAACGCCATTTTTTAAAAGGTTTTTAAGCACTGATTAAAAATTTAAATACTCTCTTCCAACTTGAATACAGCGAAAAAAAATGATGTTTTTTTTTTATCTAAAAGAGTATTTTAAGAATACTAATTTTATTATATTTAATAAAAAATAAAAATATTTCCATTTATTTAATTGAAAAAAATAAATTTAAGAAAAGTATATGAAATTAATTAGATTAAATGATGATGAGTAATTTTCTTAAGTAACATTATGTATTCTTTTTTTTTTACCTCACATTTATAAAAATTCTTCATAAATCCCTTATTTATTTCAGGAATAATACAGTTACACCTTTTGTGTTTTAAAAAATCTTAAAAAATTATTGTAAAACTATAAAAAGTAAATAATATAAATATAATTGATAAAACGTAAAAATATTAATGTAATTAATCTAAATTCTTTAATGTTCAATTTTTATGATAACAAAATTAAGTTAGAACATAGGCTATTACTTCTTTCAAAATTGTATTCATTTTAAAAGAAAATATACATAAGCAACTATGATATTGTATATGTCGCTTTTAAATGTGTATAATTATTTTAATAATAATTTCAATTAATTATTTAATATTAAGAAATCAAATTTCAATAATTAATTTTAAAAATAATTTAGCTCAAATTTAAACTCTACTCTTTTAAAATTTTAAATGTAAGTTAGTTAAGTTTACTCATTAATTAACGTGGCATGAAACTTATACTAATATGTATATTATTCTGTATAGATAGGATAGTATTGTCATAAAAAAAAGATCAATTTTATAAAATAAGCCCAATAAAAAATAACGATGAAATACTTTATAACATTACATTAAATCAAAATCATAGTGACAACCCTTTTCAATCTATGAAGGGAACTTGTTTTATAAAGAAAAATGCATTTACTTTTTGCAGACAATGTTTATTTATTTATTTATTAATAATAGATATTTATTTTTATTATATTTTCAATAAAATGGCAGTTATATAATTTATAAGTTTTAAATATATTTATATAAAGGAGAAACAATATGAAACCCATAAGCTATTTCTCCTCTTTTTTTAATTATAAATGGATGGTAGTTGACCAACTTCATCTATAAAAAAATTGAATTGATAATTCTGGATTTAATTTGGTTCAAGATATATAGAAAATGGGTCTTTTTATGCAACCATGTTTTCAATAATTTACCGATCCAACCTAGGACTACCCTTGTTTAATCTTCAATGAAAACAAAGAACTTCAATTAACCCAGTTGAACCAAATTCATCTAAGATAGCAACTTGATCACCATAAAACACAAATGCTTTTAACACTCTGAATGTCAACACCTTAAACGTTTTAGCATGAACCTAAGAGAACCCCATTGAATTTCAATAAAAGACAGGGGAGTGCCCTGAAAAACAGAAGTAGAGGATTGTTTCATTTTGCATCAAAATAACGAAGATAATATAAACAGGATTCAGAAAAACACACATAACAGAAGCTCACAAGGTGGAAACTTCATCACTACATATGATTCAGTCCATCACTAAGCTCAAAAAAAAAAAAAAATCATCATGAAAACACAGTAGATATAAATTCACGTGAACCCTCAAGATCTTCCAGGACCCAATAATAAGTAACAAACTATTTCACATATAGACAAAAGCTTTAAGCTTTGACGAATTAAAGTAAAGCAGTCATAACCCATGAATGATTAATCATCTATAACAAATCTGATACATGTAGTTAAAGAAAGCACTACCAGCCATAAACGACTTGAGAGTACTTGTTCTTGAGCCACCTGAAGCTTTTTCTGAAGGAGCCTTTGATCTTGCCTTCGACAGAATACATTTTGTAGCTGGCAACCCTCTTCTTCCTCTGAAGCTCAGGATCAGCCAAGGTCCAAGACCTGGAGAAAGAAGATGCTGCAGAAATGCTTTTCCCTTTCTTCAACTTCAAGTCCCTAGGACCCATTTGAGTTTGAGCATAGGAAGCACTGTAACATCTGAGATCATAAGGCCTGCTAGGGGCTCCATAGTAGCTCTCAATCTGCATCATTTGCCCATTTGCGTAAGACCTTGATCTCTGAAACTCCTCCATGGGAAATTGGGCAGGGAGGACCAAGAACAACGATGAAAAACCCAAAATCAACTCTTAACCTTTTTATTTTGTTACGATAGAAAGATTATGAAAAATATTAGAGACAGTGGTGGCGTGGGGTCCAACAACGACCATAGGAGGTTCGGTCTACGGTGGCTTCCTTTTATTTTTCAATTTTAATGTTGCTTTGTCCATTGTCTCTGTCTCTCCGCCATTAAATTAAATTCCATCCACTGTTAATGACTTTTAGTCACACTTCATATATATTCATTGGAAGGTGCCGTGTTTTCTGGGGAATCCTAATTCTTCATCACTTATTATATTCATCGTTTACAATTTTTTTTATTTCCTTTATAAGTAAATTATGCTACACAATATATATATATATATATATATATATATATATATATATATCAATAAGAGATTAATATAATACATGAGAAATAACAATTAGAAAACCAACAAAAAAATAGAAAAAATTATAAAAATTTATATAATTTTGAAAACATTCATGATAATTAGTTAAACTTATTTTATATACTTTCAAAATTGTAGAGGATTTTGTTTTTGAACCGGACAAAGGATTCCCCGTAAGACAATTCATCTGCCACGAATTCTGATCCTTTTTCTTAATGACCCACGACAACCACATTTTAAAAATGGATTTTCCAACTTCGTACAACATAATGTTTAATATTAACAATACAAAAATAAAATGTAATAGGGTATCTCAAAAAGAAGTGTTTAATATTTTTTTATTTTCCTGATTTTAATTTATTAATTTTATTCGATACTTTTGTTAAATAATTTCAAATATTATAAACATATAATATTGAGGTCGATAATGAAAGAAAATAATAGGAAATATAGTTTTAAAGTACTGAGAAAGCAGTTTTTGGTTTATAGTTATATTTTAGTATTTATTATGGAGTTAAAATTCATTCCATACATATTAAAACATTAACAGCTGTCTTAAATTTGACGGACACTATAATGATGTTTATTTTATTAACAAGGTTTTGGTTTTGGACTTATTTGCATAAGGTTGACTATTTACGTTTTTTTTAATTAAATAATAAATATTTTATAACCTAATTTTTATTCAATTTTATTTTAATTAATTTTCATCACTCCTTCCATTTAAAAAACATATGATTTTTTTGTGTTCTTTATATTGACTTATAGCCAAACCTTAAACCACTCAAATTTTGAAATAGTGGGAACATATGAAAAATTTCTTTGTTGGAAATATTTGAAATATTTTTTCTTCTTCCTTCTCATTTTTTTTATTTGTTGTCCAATTATTACGAACAAGTTATTTGTACATAAAATAATATATATGTAGAGAGATTGAGAAAAAGTCAAATCCAAAATAATGAGACAAGTAATAGAGTTGATATTATTGAAGCAATGCTCAAAAAGGAGATTACTTACGGAGTTTTGTGTCATAAATTTCAATGACTCTCAATCTTTATCATTTGTTTATTATTTTTTCACGCCATTGATAACATTTTTGCTGGTGCATACACGAATGCGGTTAGGTTTGTGACAAGTGTTTTGATGATGAATAACTTTTACTATTCTAAAGTCAATAAATGTGTAAAATAATAAAATAAAAATATATATCTTCAATTTAAAATTATGACATTTAAGTTCAATAACAGATTTCTAACATTTATTATTTTCCAAATTTTATTATATTTAACTTTTTATGTATATTTTTTTTATTTTCATTTATTCCATTGGTTGACTGAATTTTTATAATGAAGTGTTGAATCTTTCTAACAAATAACAATATTGTTTCATTATTAATATAATGATAAAGTATGTAAAATAAAAGCACCATGGTATTAAGAAAAACCTTAAGTCCAAAGTACATAAAAGTAAAAAATTTCGTCGTAAAAAATAATAATAAAATTTCTAAATAATGATAGATGAATAATAAATCATGTAATTTAGTTAAATTTAGTCACAAAAGTGAATGTTTGATTTTTTAATAAATTATATAAAATAAAAAAATTAAATCAGAATTTTAAAATTAATAATTTATATATATATATATATATATATATATTAAATAAAAAAATTAAATCAGAATTTTAAAATTAATAATTTATATATATATTAAAAAAAGAAAAATTATGAATATTTTTTATAGCATAATTATTCCTGAATATTTTTTAATGTTCTCCTTAAATTATATACTGAGATAAAATGAGAAGAAGATTTTACTCTCTGCTATTCTCATTATAATAATATTTATTATCATAAATTTATCATATTTTACCCATTTACTGTTTAACCATTTATTATTATTTTTTTAATTTTCTCTCTTCACATGCCCAAGACATAAAACTTAAATTTTAAACATAACACATAAAACTTAGATGTTAAACTAGAATGAATACAATATGAATGTTCTAAAAAGAATTGTTTTCGCAAATGAAATGCAATTTAAGAGACTAGAGTGTTTACATAAGATAAATTGAGAAAATGAACTCCAAATTTAATAAATTGATGACCACTCACTGAGCTGCCCAGGAGCATTCAGATAACGTAATTTTATTTTATTCTTTTATAATCTTTGAAAAAATATTCTTAAGAACATATTGAATAAATATTATTGATAAAAACTACTAACTATATATAACATGATAATTTAATTGATTGTTTATAATTTCATTATTAAATAATTTGGAAAAAAATAATAAGAAAAATATATTTTTTAATTTATTAAAATAAAATGAAAGATAAATCATTTTAAAATATTATAATATAATAAGATTATATTTTACAAAAAAAAAAAATTAATCATGAATGGTTTTGTTGGAGACTCTTAGTGTGTGAGATGCTGTTTTGTTTTAAATTGTTTGTGCATGGGTAGACATGACAGAAACATTGCGAGTTCTAAAACGCCAAACAGTCACGTCGTGAGTGGTTTAGAGCATAAGTTACTTCATAATTCACAGATAAGATGGAGTAATCTATTCTCATCACAGTAGAGACTTTAAAGTATATAAGTGCGTATGTATTCATAAATTTGTTGTATTAAGAGATCAATAATTATAAGTCATCCTTGGTCCTGAAAATAAACTTTCATTGTACTGCATTTCTATGTGTAGATGCGTTCCTATGTATAGATTATATGACTGATAGGTAAGTAAGAGTAAAAAATGGGGCTGAGAATAGATTAACAGCAGTATATTTGCAGCATAACATTAAAAAAGTTTCAAATTTATACAACCACCTCGCGGAAATATTAAAACAAAACACACAGAAAGCGGCAATCTACAGGAAGATTGATACACAAACAAGCAAGCAACAAAACTGCAACAACGCATTCTGCTAGACCCAAAATTAGAGAAGAATGCCCATTTCAAATCACCGGTTTGGGGTTAAGTTCAAGAGTCTTGCTAGAGAAAGGCCCTGACCCATGAAAAATGAAATAATGACAGCGACCTCCATAATAAAAACCATACCAATCAGTAATGGAGGGGATACCAAATCAAATGAGATCAGCTACATTGGCTGGCAGCTCCTCAACCGTCACATTATAAAACTTTTGGATGTCAAGTAGCATCCTTTCATCATCACTGGTCACAAAATTGATAGCAACACCCTTTCTCCCAAACCGACCACTACGACCAATTCGATGGAGATAGTTCTCTGGCTGAGTTGGCAGATCATAATTTATAACAAGTGAGACTTGCTGGACATCGATACCACGGGCCAGAAGATCTGTGGTGATAAGAACTCGGGACGACCCAGAACGGAATTCCCGCATGATGATATCCCTAGTGTTTTGGTCCATATCTCCGTGGGTGGCTGAAACTGTGTGATCACGACTCCGCATTTTGTCTGTCAGCCAATCTACCTTGCGTCGAGTGTTCACAAAGATAACACTCTGGGTGATTGCCAAAGTTTCATAAAGATCGCACAGTGTCTCTAGCTTCCATTCCTCCTTGCTTACATTGACAAAAAACTGCTTGATTCCCTCCAAGGTAAGCTCATCACGTTTTACAAGAATCCTCACAGGTTTGTTCATAAACTTTCTAGTGATTTCCAGCGCTTCTGGAGGCATTGTGGCAGAGAAAACCCCAACCTGAATCTTTGGAGGCAGTAGCTGAAAAATATCATAGATCTGGAAAGTGGAAAAAAAGAAAGGGAAATTCAGAAGTATACACTTTATGAACCAACCAAAAGGCAGATAAAGTTGTACATATGTTCTTTTCACATGTACCCGCTACCGATGCAGACTACAAACCAAAACATACTTTTTGAAAATGGCAAAAAGAGTAAGTATTTAAATCTTCATGTCCATAATAAACGTTACGAATGTAGCACTTATTGAAAAATATCTATACATTTGGTTAAAATTCAAATAGAAACTCCACATGGTGTTTTTAAGCCAGAATCTTATTCCATAACAACAAATAAACAGAATGAAGCAAATTAAAGAGAGCTGCATAAGAAAATGAGATGACCTGATCCTTAAAACCTCGAGAGAGCATCTCATCTGCCTCATCCAATACAAACATCTTGATGTGATCAGGGCGCAAAGATTGTCTGCGAAGCATATCAAATACACGACCAGGAGTGCCAACAACTACATGAACACCACTTGAAAGGATACGTTGGTCTTCACGAACACTGGTCCCACCAACACAAGCATGAACCTTGACACCTAGATAGTCCCCTAGTGCTCGCATGACCTTCTCAATTTGTTGTGCAAGTTCACGAGTAGGAGCAAGAACTAGTGCCTGGCACTCAACTAAACTGTAATCAAGCTGCTGCAAAACTCCAGAGCAAAAAGTAGCAGTTTTTCCAGTTCCAGATTGTGCTTGCTGAATTACATCAAGTCCCTTGCAGAAAGGAACAATCCCCCTTTGCTGAATTGCAGAGGGTTTCTCAAAACCTTTTCAGAAAAAATACAGCAAGTATTCAAGATCCTTAAGAGGCATATAATTTGACTGTAAACTAATCACAGATTTGATGCAGATATAAACACTAGAAATTAGAACTAAAGTTCTCAAGCAAGAATCAATATTTAAAATTATAGTACACTCAAATATTAATGTACATACCGTATGCATAAATACCCCTCAGAAGGTTCTCCTGCAATCCCATAGCATCAAAGCTTTCGCAAACTTCGTCATAAGAAGTAAAAAAATCTTGCCCATCAGTTCCAAGTCTGGCCCCATCAACACATAAACCAAAAATGAGCATATACTTATAGGCATGGGTGCATCACCGGCAGGCATTGCGTATGAAATAATAAGATGGAATCAGTAGTAAATAGAAGAAAAAAAAAAAACATCTCAATGCAATAACATCTCTACTAAGCAAGCATCCAAGGAACCTACAACTCATTCATCTTAGCATCAAATTGACGAGCATCGAATTGCGATCCTTCTGGTGCCAACCCAGCCATGATTGCAAACTGCAAACAAAAAAAGACATCAATTCATTTCACACCCGACAGATCAAAGTTTAGACACTGATATTGCACAAATTTTAATTTTCCCACTTCAAATATAGAAAAAAAATTGAATAATCTGATACAGTGTACTGAACACGCAACACTGAGCAAAACAGAGGCAGATAGTCATCGGCGTTTCTTTTAAGCACACCCAAGACAAAAGTTAAACAACCCAATTAGTCATATTAATTTCAGTTACTTATGGAAGATATGAGTTCTGAAATAAAAAATTTAAGAATTTTCACGCCGGAGAATAAATCGATCCGAGCAAAAGAGAGATAGTCATCTATACCATGAATTACAAATAAAAGAAATCTGAATAACAGCTAAGAAACGAAATCAAACCTTTGGCGAATACGGAAGAAGTTTGAATTGCGAAATAATGAAGAAGATTGAGTTTGTGAGAGGGGATGGCGGAGTTAGGGTTTCCGAAAGTCGAAGGGTAATGGCGGTGGCTATGAGACAACGACGTATCAAAGAAGACGCCGGAGGACAGTGTGAATATTGAAATGGTTTTCTTTTTTCAATGGATTGCGATGATTTTGTTTTCAATTTCTTTCTCCATTTTACCCCTTCTTTTTTCCGTTAATTTCAGCTTGGGCGACTGTGTTATGGTGACGTGTCCAGTTACCCTCGGTGTAAAAAGGTTGAATTATGTGTAGTTTATCTTATTTTTTAGCTTTAGAAAAAGGTTTAAATACTTACAAATTCAAACCCAACTTTATTAACATTTAAGGTCAGTATATATTGTTTTTTTTTTAAAGGTAAAAATATAAAATAATAATAATAATTATAATAATAATCTGTAAAATCATAAATATTAAGACATGTATCAAATAGTGCAAAATTGATTTCCACAATTATTAATAAATAATCATTGAAGGAAGATAATAGAAAAATAAAGTAGATCAAAGGAAACAAAATAGTAAATATATATATATATATATATATATATATATATATATATATATATATATATATATATATATATATATATATATATATATATATATATATATATATAAGTGTAAGCATTTTTCGTTGACGCAAACAAATATTTAGAGTAATAACTAATAATTTTAATATCGCTTAAAAAATGTGTAAAGTTAAATTTTTATTTTTATAAACAAACCATTTTAAATTTGGATAAACTCGAAGTATATGCTTCTAAACGAGGGTAATCATGACGTGTTAGCAACTATCTTCTATAAGATTGGTAAGGTAAATATAATAATCTGATTCAAAAAAATCCAATGTTATTGTCAAAAGTCTTATATATATAACAGTTCAGTATTTTTATTAAATATATGAAGCTATGTAAATGAGAGGGTTAAAAAATCTAGACAATGTAATTAAAATAACAAGTTAGAGTTAATGAAAATATATTCATCTTTTTCAGTAAACATATATTCAATAATAAAAATAAATAAATAATTTTATCTACAGTAAATAAATAAAATATTACATAATGATTAAAATTACATATAAAATATTTTTTAGCGTTAAGTTATTGAATTATAGTTATGTATTATATTTGTATTAACTTCTGTTGAAATTGAAAATTTATAAGTATATTTAAATTTCATGTTTTAAAGTTTTGAAAATTTATAATTATAAGTTTTATTCGGCTCATGGGTCTCACGTTGAGGGAAAGGAGGGCTTATATCGGGCCTATGTCGGGCCTACGCTAACAACAAACAGTTGGGCCCTTATGCAACTTAGCAACTGTTCTTTCATGTTTGTATCTCGCTCTTCACTTATTATCTTTCGGTCTTCCCAAATGTGTTATGTTTTCATGGTTCGCTAGCAATGGATGTTGCTGAAACTGTTAAGATTAAAGCAAACAAGTCTTATAAATTACATGTTTATCAACTCACATTGTATTTTTAAGTAATAATGTGGCATTAAGAAAGTTTTGGTTTTGATCACCTATGTATGATTGTGCGTCCCTTCTTTTGACTTTCATAACCAGGAAAGAATAGAAAGTCATGTTCGTAATATAAAAATGTAATTTTTAATTAGTTAATTAGCTAAGGTTCTTAAACTTAACCCACGGGTATAGATATTAGAAGAACAAGGATATCATATTGTCTGAATGTCACGACTTACGATCAAATCATTCATCGATTGCATCGAGTGCGTGGGTGGGTGGGGAAAAAGTTTCATCGCATCACCAAAAAAATCAGGTCCACCTTGCACAAAATTTCAATACATCACTTTGATCCAACTGCAAAGTTGTGAAAGAATTAAGTAGATTAGTTTAGGTTTATTCTTTTTGTACTCCTTAGCATATCCTAGGTTAAGGTACCCTTGCATTACAATAATATTACTTTTGTTATTATAAAAATTGATTAAGGTTTAAGCTCGGAAAATCATTTTCAGTGTAAATAAATTTAAATCGATAAGAGTTGAATCTTATCTAATACTAGTAACCAACAGTGTATTTACCTGATGATTATGTTGTACCATGATAAATTAAAACAAAGATCTTATAGTTTCTAAACTTGTCTGAACTTTGGATTTATAAACTGTGGTGTGAAGAAAACTATAAAAACTGACCGATAACTGATAAAGGTTTGAGCTATGAGATATATATAGCCATGTAGGCATGGGATACAGTACTGACACGTGCTCACGCTTCACATTTGTTTTCAATGATCGTGTAATGGAAAATAGATAGCTATATATCTACCATCTCTGATTGTTTTAGTGTTTCAATAGACCACAGATTTTCAAGGATAGTGCCATCTTTTTTCAAGGACAGTGACAATGTTCTTCTTGATTGAGTACCAACATTAAGTTACCTATGACTCATTATTTTGCTTTTTTTCTTCTTCTTGTTGATATTCAACCAATACTAAAATTTGAAATTAATTTAAAGCTGTGATTCGATTCTACATTTTCACGGGTTTTTTGCTGACCAAGTGTTTTTGTTGGAGTAAATGTACATAGTCAGAAATATGGGAAACGTAGACCAAAAAGACCACTGCATGCACACTATCATTACTGCACACTACACTGCTCGGGGTTTGGTTGTTACATGAGAGCAGACCTGAATTTTTTGTTTTTTTTTGGGTCACATCTCGAAGGAAGATACACAATTTAATTTCTGCAAAATTGTTGACAGTGCAACTAGCTATGCTTCCTGCTTGAATTAAAACAGAGAATGGTGCAAGAGGGCTCTCGGTAACCACAAAACCAAAGGAAATTAATTACACATCAGAAACTACCACAGAAGTATTAGATTGGCCTTCTCTGTATTTACTGAAAAATAAAACTATTAATTAATATAAATATTTTTTAAAATTTATAACAGTGTGATATATATATATATATATATATATATATATATATATATATATATATATATATTTATATATCTTTCATTAATCACATATATAATATATCAAGTTGGTATACTACCATCATAATGTAAATCTTCAAAGTCTATATTAGTAATTTACTTGTTTTTTCTCAGGCAAGAAAATACCAATAAACTAATTCCAAGCCTGTTAATAAATCTAAATTTTTTAGTGTCTGACTATCACGCAAAGGAAATCTAATATAAATTTTTCATGATTCTGCAGGTGATAAGAAGAGAAAAATGTTAGTAATACACTTTTAAAATTGAACTTTCTACAAGCTAATTAATTATCTTATTATAAGAATTGTGTCAAAAACTATGTCAAAGAATATTATATTAATTATAATAAGCACCAAATTAATCTCAACTCCACGAGGGGCCTTGCTTTGCAGAATCTATTGCTAATTTAAATTCAATGATAGATGTTTGTTTGTTTGCAAGTAGAACTATGTATATATGATACTAAACTTTAAATTATATATTCTTAATTAAATTAACCCTAAATTAAGAAACAGTGTATCCAGTGGTGTACAAGACCTGGAAGCAAACCATTCTCTTACTATTGATAAATAGAGCAAAAGGAATAAAGTTGAGTTTCTTTTTGTAAAGACTAAAACTAGGGGAAAGAAAGAAGAAAAGAGGGCATAAAATAGTTAAAGATAGAGGACCAAAAAATATGCATCGATCCACCGGCTTGAGATGCACACAACAAGGTTCTGCAACAGTGCAGAGGTGGGGATATAGCTACACTACACACACCGCCACACTTAGCCAATATCGGCGTGCACAGTTCACAGCAGTAAAAGATATTATGAATATGTGATATGAAGCACATGGCTCCAAATTCTGGTCACATGCATGCATGCTTGCCACCATCTTAGCCAAATAAAAAATTGAAAAGGAGATTGAAATGGAATTGGCCCCATTAATTTGTGATAAGGAATGCAAGGCCTTCATTGACTCATTTTGTTGGCCAGTTCCCAACACACTGGAGTGGTGTGTAGTGAGTATCGAATTCCAAAGGATGTGTACAGTGTAAGTTGTAGTGTTAGGATTATTAGGGTTTATCACTTCAGATAAGTCAATGCCCTCACCCCAACCCCACTACATATCTCAATGGAATCAAATCAATCGCCCACTTCAGCAGCCCTACCCCAACCACACGATGTGGGATTTCAATTGCTCGCTGTTTCAATCCTGCCATCAATGCCCACACAGAATCAATTGAACCCAAAACAACTACACAGATGATTCAAATAAAGTAAACCTAGTACAAAATATTACCAAAAGGTCTAATATCATTGTCCTAATACAAAATACCAAAATATTTTACTTGTTATTCTTTTTTTTTTCTAAAATAATATTAAAATTATTAAATATTTTTTCAACTTAATCTTAAAATAGTTATTCAAAATTGATTACTAAAATCATTTTTAAAAACTAAAAAATTAAGAGTAAATCAAACATAACTTTATTTATGTTTTCCTTTAATTTTTTCAATAGAATTATGCCTTTTCTTTTTACCCTCTTGAAAGATGATAATAGTTATCCCCTTTTAGTTGGCCGAAAGTTGTACTGGTAGATATCC